AACAACACACCTTTAATGTATATTTAACTGTTCTTGGATAAGAGTTCTTTGGTTGCTATTTTAATGTTAGGTTTAACATTTTTTCAGTAAATAAGCTTAGAAAACAGTAATGTAACATTAAAATCCATAATATTTTGTCCTGTCACATAGCAATACAGACGTATATTGGTGTATGTAGATTGGGCATGTTCCGTATCAACCCTCATAAAAGCCATATTTTGTGAAGCGATTACAAGGAACACTTACCTGGGGCATTGGAGGGCCATCTATGTATTCGTGTTATGGGAGAACAATGCCTCCTATAAAAAGCAACCTACATTTGATTTATTTCAATTTTAAAATGCAAATTCAACCTGAATCTGATCTTGAGGAAGCAGCAAATCAATATTAAACATGGAAGTGACGGCCTAGTGGTATCATCACTGGACAGTTAATCCAGAGACCCAGGTAATTGCTCTGGGGACCTGAGTGCAAATGCACCAAGGCAGATTTGAATTCAATGAAATTCTAGAATTAAGTGCCTAATGAAGAGCAGAATCGGAGATAAAAACCATCCATTAGGTGAAGGAAGCTGCCTTCTTTACCTGGTTTGGCTTCCATGTGACTCCAGACCCACAGCAATCTGGTTGACTGTTAACTGCCCTCTGGGCAATTAGGGATGGGTAATAAGTGCTGGCCTAGCCAGTGACACTTTCATCCCATGAACAAAAAAAAATGCATTTTGAAGAATCTACATCAGATCTTGTGTTACTGAAAATATAAACGGTTTTCAATGAATAAGGTACATGGGAGTGGATTGTGAAGGTTGCTTAAGTAAGTTTGACTGTATTGAGATTGTATAGAGCAGAACTAGGTGACTAAACCCATCAAGTCTGCTCCATCATTTTATGGCTGATCTGATAATCCTCAACTGCACTTTCCTGCCTTTTCCCTGGAACCTGATTCCCTCACTGATTAAAAATCGACCCCTCTCGGTCTTGGATATATGCAGTGACCGACCTTTGACAGCGCTGTTGTAAATAATTCCACAGATTCGTTACCCTCAGAAGAAATTCCTCCTCATCTCTGTCTTCAATGTGCAGCCCCTTATTCTAAGATTATGTCCCCTAATCCTAAACACTCTCAAGGAGAAACAACCTCTCCACATCTACCCTGTCAAGCCTCCTAAGAGAGTCTTGTATTTCTCAGTAAGGTTGCTTCTCATTTTTCTAAATTCCAATATGTACATGCCCATCCTACTCAATCTTTCCTTACAAGATTGTCCATCTCTACCTGGTATCAGCCTTGTGAACCTTCTCTGAAGCGCCTGCAATGCCTGTGTATCTTTCCTTAAATATCTAGGGGCGTCCTGACAAAAAAATATACACTTAACTATAATCAGTTTGGTAAATGTCCAATCTTAAATGTTTAAAAAATTGTTTCAGTATCATATAAGCAAGCTGTCACAGCTATCTGAACCGCAAGATTTCACTAATGAGCAAGATGTAGATGAAGTTGAAGCTGCCCTTGCCAGTCTGGAGGTGACACTCGAAGGTGGAAAAATAGACAGGATTTTGGTAAGAATGCTCATTATTTTGTGTAATTTTAATAACCTGTCCAACTGTTTTCTGAAAACAGAAGTCCCTTCTCATGATGATTTGCGTCACTTTATGATGATATTTTATTTAAAATGGACACAATCTGATATCTTGGGGTCAAAATGCACTTTCTGAAAACTGGGAGTATCTAATGAATTAAGATAACCTGAAATATAAAGCATTTATAAATTTTCTAGATCACTTAAGTTGCCTTGCTGCTCTCTATTTGGTTCATATATGTGTTTACTTAACTTGACAATGAAGTCCAGAGAACCTTATCCTACCTTGTGTGCCTCACAGAAACTGGATTACTTTGAAAGAGCAGAACCTGTGATTATGTGGGAGAACACAATGAAAAAGAACAAAAACCCACGAGATGGGTGGTTAGCAACAATGGCTGGTAGATCAATCCTTAATTTTAGGGGAGATAAACATAGGAGGTTAGTAGAATACCAGCTCCACGTCCAAAATGTTAAAGCTGTATTTTCCATAATGATAGAAAAGTGATTGAGCAAAATCAATACATTCATTTCAGAAATCTCCAAAACAAAGTTAAACACTGTCCCTTTACCTCTGATATCCTCTTTCTAGGCCATGGATTGACTGATGTGGAATGCTAATTGTCCCAGAGTCTGAGTAACATAGGAATATTGTTTCATAATCTTCTAATATAAAGCCTACTCTACAAGAAGTTCACTGATTAGAACTAGACGTTCTTGAAGAATTAAGACACAGGTTCTTAATAATTTATAGACAGCCTTTATATCCAGTGATAAATCTCTGACAGACATGAAGATGTTCATCCCCAGTGGCCCAAATAGGAAGGGCACTGTCATTTGCACAAGAAACTTTGCTTTAATATAGTGCAGTCTTAGTATCCTGCTGGAAGGCAGGGACTTCTACGTAGTGACTGTCCAACAATCCAAGTGTGTGGAGATATTTTCTAATCATGTTCATTGATGTAGTTACAATCCTCTGGAGCAGGTGGTAACTGAACTCAGGTTTCCAGGCTCAAAGGTAGGGACATTACCACTACACCACAACAGCCCTCCCGTTTGTGTAGAAACTGCTCTATTTAATAAAAATCACCCCACCCTTCGTTTAATCGATATATTGATATTTTTCTTAAAGTTAAAGGAACCGATTTCCACTCGGGATCCCATGAAAGGGGACTCTACCAATAAAGAGGTAGTGTTAATGTCACTGGACGGGTTAATGTTCTGGGGACATGGGCTCAAATTCCACCTCAACAGACGGTGACATTTGAACGCAACAATTATCTGGAATAAAAAGCTTGCCAATGGCAACTGTGTAACCACTGTTGATTGTCATTAAAAACCCATCTGATTCACTAATAATGGAACCTGCTGTCCTTAGCCAGTCTGCTCTACCTATGATTGCAGACTCTTAATTGTTCCCTGGCAATCAGAAATAGGCACTAAATGCTGGCATAGACAACGATACCTACATCGTGTAAACAAATGTAAAAAAAACTTCAGTTATTTTAAATTACTGCAGATGCTACATACCATGAATTCCACGTAGCACTATTGGCACCTGCTGTCTCTATTCAGCAGAAATCTAGTGATGATTGGTGGACACTGGTATCTAAATGCAGACAGGCTGTCTGTGTTTGAAATTGACATGGAACCACCGACCAGTTGGGTGACTTCAAAAAATAATTTGGGATAAAATTAAGTCATATGGAAAAATGAGGATTAGTTAGGGAGAATCAACATGGATTTCTTTAGGGAATATCATGTTTCTGGAGTTTGTTTAAAGAGAAACAGTGTGGGCTGATCAGGCCAATGCTGTTGATATGGTCTGCATGAACGTCTAGAAGGCATTTGGTAGAGTGATGCACAACAGACCTTTGAGCAAAGTTAGAGCTCATGGAATAACGGAGACAGTGGCAACAGTGTAATACAAAATTGTCTGAGTGGCAGGAAAGAGGTTAATGGTTGATAGGAAGGGGAAGGTTTGTAGCAGAGCTCCCCAAAGGTCAGTGTTTGGGACCCTTGCTTTTTCTGACATATAGTAATGATCTACAGCTTTGTGTAGAGAGCACAATTTCTATATTTGCAAAAGATGGCATTGACAAGTTGGTGGAGTGGGTAGGTAGAGTAATAGAGTCGGAGAGGCATACAGCATAGAAACATGTTCTTCAGCCCACCATGCCTATGCCAACCAACAAACACCAAACTACACTAATCCCATTGACCTGTACTTGGTCCATAGCCAATGACAGATGGCAGATGAAATTCAATGCAGAGAAATGTGAGATGATACATTTTGATGGTAAGAACATGAGGACAGAATATAAACTAGAGTGTGCAATTTTAAATGGTATGCTGGAGAAGAGGGACCTGGGAGTATATATGATGCATTGAAGGTGGCAGGCAGGGTGAGAGAACAGCTAAAGTATATAGTGCCCTAAGCTTTATTAATAGGGGCATGGAGTACAAGTGCAAGGAAGTTAAGTTAAAATTGTATGAGACACAAGTTTGGCCTAAGCAGGGTATCGTGTCCAGTTCTGATACCACACTGCAGGAAGGATGTAAAGACATTGGAAACAGTGCAAAAAAGATTTATGAGCATGATTCCAGGGACGAGGTGGTAACATCACTGGACAAGTAATTCAGAAACACAGGCTGATATCTGATAACATGGGTTCAAATCTTACCATGGCAGATGACGAAATTTGAATTCAGCAAGCATCTGGAATAAAAAACACAGTAACCACCACCAGTTGTTGTAATAACCCAGGTTCATCAATGCCCTTTAGGGGAAAAAAAATCGTCTGGTCTACAAGTGACTCCAGACCCGCTGCAATGTGGTTGACTCTTTACTGCCCTCTAGACAATTGGGGATGGGCAGTAAATGCTGAACTAGCCAGTGACATCCACATCCCATGAACAAATAAAGAAAAAGTTATGTATTCAAAATTAAGAGAATTCGGGACAGAGCGAATAGGGAGCACACTTTCCTAGTTGCAAAAGGATCAAGGATGAGGTCCACAGATCACTAACATTGGTAATTAATAAAAGAAGGAAAGTGATTTGAGGAAAAACATTTTCACACAACGAGTGGTAAGGAATACACTGTCAGAGAGTGCAGCAGAGCGAGATTCAATCAAAAAATTCAAAAGGATTTGGACAGTATGCAGATTTACAGGGTAATGCAGAATAATGGCAATAAGTTAAAGCTCAGGTGCAGACACAATGATCCAAATGATCCTTTTGCACTGTAACAATTCTCTCCATTTATATCATGTTGCATTGTGTTAACAGTTCCACTGCAGACACATTCTTTGTGTTGTTATACTGTGTATTTGATTAAAACAGATTTTGCAGGTTGGGTGGAACTAAGTTTCTGTGAGTTGCTGAACAAAGGGTGCACTTTAGACCCATATATTTGACTCATTGTGAGAAAAGGTTTCAGCTAATTCTGCAGACAGTTCAGACGATCATGTATGAATACTAATTTATAAATGTTTCACTGGAAGATAACCTAAACTTAAAAGCTGCACCTTGGTAAGTAATTATGTTTTGTCTGTGGAATTACAATCATCTTATGAAATTTTTAGAGAAGTGACAAGTTTGAAAATATGTTTGGTTCAGAAACCACATTCTTTTTCAGAATTATAGCTAATGCATTTTATGAGTCTTTTCAGTGTTATAAAGCACATGCAATAAAATATGAATCTCAGTAAATGTTTTTGTGATTAAATGTTATAGTTGTGCAAGTCAAACTAGTATTTACTTGGCTTTCCTGGTAGAAAACGATGAGTGATGGGACTCCAATTTAAATTTCTGGCCAAAGCTCACAGCTTTTCTGTTTATCACCTGCAGACAGGATTGAAAGAAGCATATAATTAAACTAAGCTTTTTATTCTTAAAAAATATTTGCACGCCCCTGTATTTGAAAGTTATTTCTTGCTTGTTTTGATTCCCACTCCATCAATCCCAAATACTGCAGTTGCCTACAATAGTTTCTGCTGCTGTTACATTGTCTTTCTAGAAAGGATAATTTTAACCCAATTAATTTTACTTTCTTCAAGTGGCTATTTCACACTCTCCCCTTCCCCACACAGCAAGCTGAAGTGTTGCAATAATGATTACAAGCCCATTTCCTACTATTTAATTGTGCAATAGATGGAAACTGAGACTTTCCATTAATTACTGTGCACGTTTGAAGAGAAACATAACATTAGTAGAAGCTTTGTGTTTTGGAAAGTACTTCCATACACCTGTATATTTTTCACATCTTTGATTCTCTGCACTTTACATCTTGCCCCAGGTTAAAGATTAGGTATGCCCTACTTCACCTTTTATAAAGGCTTTTATTTAACTAATTTTAAATGTTTTACCAATTTATGGACTGACTGTTATTGTCTTTCTACCATTATTCCCAACTGTAATCATGATCTCTGCATGTTGCTTCACAGTGATTTGAGTAACAGTTCAAGATCAATTCTAGCAAAGCCATGGCCATTCAATGGATTTTAGTTTATTTGGTAATTATTGTTAGGTTTGAATCTGGGCACCTGAATCAGTCTTTTATTTAGGAGCAAATTACTGCAGATGCTGGAATCTGTACTGAAAACAAAAAATGTTGGAAATCACAGCAGGTCAGGCAGCATCTATGGAGAGAAAGAACAAGGTAAAGTTTTGAGTTTAGATGACTCTTCAGATCTGATGTGAAGCATTAGGGGACATTTTTATGCAATAGTTGGGGGTGGGGGGGGTGCGATGGAGTGCTGGGGGAGAAAGGGTGTAGACAGTGCAGATGAAGTGATCGGAATATGAGGTTGACAGAACAATGTTGTGTCTAACTGCCAAAATGGAAAGAACAGATAATCCCACTGAGTGGGAGAGCGGACACGGAGAATGTATCAAGTAAAGCTAAAAGAAAGGGAAGGAATGGGAATAGGTTCACAAGCTGAAGGCGTTGAACTCATTATTAGGTCCAGAAGGTTTATTTCCCCTCCAAGATTTCTCGCTCATTTGCAGCTCAGCTTCAAAGAGTCTGATTCCATCATGGTTTTGCACCTCTTGGACTAAGGCCTGACAGCATATGTGGAAAGAAAGCGGAGTTAACTTTTTTGAGTCAGGTGTCCCTTCTTCAGAACTAGTCTAATGTTGCCTTTGGTATCAAGGCTGAGTTTCTGTGACTCTCGGGGCCTACCTGTTATTAAGTATGTTACAGTGGTCTTCAACTGTGACTTTTTCTTCCATTTCCCACACCCACTACGAGCAATTTCCTAATCAGTAAACTTTTCACATGGTCTGCATAGAGTGCTGCAGCCAGGAAGAAAGAAAGAGACTCTCATTTATATAGTGCTTTTCGCAACTAGCTAGGTGCCTTCTTCAAGTGTAATCACTGCTTAATGAAGGAATGATGTTTCCAACAACAGGCCCATAGCTGCACCTCGCTAAACTCTCTGGAAATTTGCAGATACTTTTTAATGAACTATAAAAGATATTCATCTATCCATATTCATGGGGCAACACAGTGGCTCAGTGGTTAGCACTGCTGCCTGTCAGTGCCAGGGACCCGGGTTCAATTCTATTCTCAGGTGACATTCTCCCAGTGTCTGCGTGGGTTTCCTCCCACAGTCCAAACATGTGCAGGTTAGGTGGATTAGCCATGCTAAATTGCCCATAGTGTCCAGTGGGGAAAAGACTTTGGCTGATCACTCTATCCATGCCCCTCATGATTTTATAAACCTCTATAAGGTCACCCCTCAGCATCTGACACTCCAGGGAAAATAGCCCCAGCCTATTCAGCCTCTCCCTATAGCTCAAACATTTCAACCCTGTCAACATCCTTAAATCTTTTCTGAACTCTTCCAAGTTGTGAACATCATCGTTCCTGTAGCAGAGAGACCAGAACTGAACGTATTACTTCAAAATACAGCCATCGTTGAGAGAGAAACAGAGCTAAAATTTCAGGTTGGTGACCTTTCAACTCTTACACTGAAAGCCATAGACCTGAACGTTTAACTTGGAGTCTCTCTCCCTCGGTTTTAGCCGAATGCTGGATATTTCCAGCAGCTTCTCTTTTTTTTAATTTCAGATTTCCAGCATCTACGGTCTTCGGCTTTTCAGCAGAACCACTTTTTGTTTTTAGCACTTCCTAACAATTTCAAAGTTTGCAATTTCTCTTTCTCCAAGAATGTAAAAGTTACTGAGATTAGTATTGTGACAGATTACTTGTTTTTTTCCCCCCCCCCTCTAGGAGGATATCACAGACATCCCAAAGTTAGCAGATTATCTAAAAATCTTCAGGTTAGTAAAGGAATTCTTGAATAAGAGCATCACTGTATTTCTGGAATGTTAGTTCAGCGGTATTTTATCAAAAAAAATTGTTTTGTATGAATTATAAATAAGTTTTTGGGAGAAGTTTAAGACAGTTTTAGAGGGTTGTTTTCGGGATATGAATGTTTGAATGAGCATTATTAGGTTTTTTATAAGTAAAATATGTACATTTAATACATAGAGTGTGGATGGTGGTAACCTGAAACAAAAACAGAAATTGCTGGAGAAACTCAGCAGGGCCTGGCAGCATCCTTAGAGAAAAAGCAGAGATGACATTTTGAGTCTAGTGACCCTTCCTCAGAACTGATAGTAGCTAGGTAAAAGTGAAGACGGGAGGAAAGGAAGGAAGGAGTGAGTGAATAGGCACAGAGAGAGAGAGAATGACAGTGACAATAACAGTTAGGGAGACAAAGGGATGGTTTATAGGATGATAGTGGCTTTCACATGTGATCAATGTACATTCTTAATTTTCCAAGGCCCCTAGAGATGGTTAGGAGGCTGGAGGACCGACTATATGGTGGGTGAACCCCATCTTCCTGCCAGCAATGCATATTGCCACCAGCAAAGCTTAGTGGCATGGCCATTCAGCAGGGGCGCCCACCAGTATTTCGATGTGCACTTGGGATGCTAAGGCATACGAAGCTATGGACAAAGCACTGGAAAATGGGATTGCAATAGCTAGGTGCTCATCTTTGACTCATGCAGACTTGACGGGCTGAAGGGCCTTTTTCTGTGCTGTGGACCTCTATGACTGAGCTGCTCAAGAACCCAATTCAAGGCCACATATTTTGCCTGCAACATTACCAGCTAAACCCAGTGGGGTTCCAGGATGGAGCCCACCTTGATAGGCATTCCACAGCCCATTATTGCGGTCTGCTTGACCCCAACCTCTGCAATGAGAGGACATCTCAGTGTTGCGGTTCTGTCTCTCCCTTGCGCTACAACCTGAGCAGAGATGGTGCAGGCCCAATTATGGTCAGCTTCTGCTTTTGTCCCCAGCAGCACCACTTAGCCTGAACAGAAAATTGCAGCCTCCCCTTTCTTGCCCGATAGTGGTTAATGACTAGGAACATTTTTTAAGGCTTTTAAATTAAATAATAATGTTTGCATCATGGCCCACAATTTACGATGAGAATGACTGGGACATTTATTTTAAAAGATATCTTTGCACACCATTCCTCCCTTTAAATTCTGCAGTACCAAATTGTACCTAAACATTCAAAACATCAAAATAATTCACGCAAAGCTTTTTGAATAACTTTTTGAAATGAATTGATTGTTATGCAGCTAAGAAAGAGTCTGGATTTATAAAATAAAACTTTAAAAATTGCCGGCAAAACAGCTTGGATTTATATAAGCATGGAAAAACATCTGTGATTCACAGAAAAGGAGGAAGTGCTAAGACTTTGAGAAGATCAGGAAAGCTCTGTTGAAGTGATGTGCTTTTGTAAAGACTTAACAGTGGAAGGGAGTGAAAGAGACTGAGGACTTTTAAGATAAAGTGAAGTTTGTTAATGGAGAAGGGGTGGGACGGAGCTTAGGGGGAAGCAGATGCTCAAAAGGCATAAACTTAGAAGATTCAGTCTGAAATCACAAGGCTGGAGGAGGTTATAGAATTACAGCAAGATAAAGACATTTTCACAGTTGAGCACTTTGTGCTTAGTGAAAGTGAAGCAAGGATGGGGTGGTGGCAGATGGGACTTAATGCAACAGAGCAGCAATTCTACACAAACAGCTTTCTCCAACAGGAACTACAAGAGGTTAATGTTTATGGTGTTGGTTGAGGTAAATATTGATCTAAAACAAAATTACATGCTCCTCTCCAGACAGTGTCTGGAATCCTTAGTGCCTACTGTAACCACCACAACAGGTAGACTGCCCAAGTGTTACATCTTGCGTGAGGGATAGCATCTTTGATAATGCATAGTTTTACTGTATGTGACTTGTATTGCAACGTGGAAGAAATTAGTGCTTTAGTTGATTTCAGCCACTGAAATTTCCCTTTCAGCAGATTCTTCACCCTGACTGTGTTTGATTCCCTCCATGGTAGTCTCTTGCCACATCATTTATCACAAAGCAAATGCAGTGATATTCATTATTTGTCTTGCAATAACAAGGACTTAGGAATGAATTCACACAGGTTAAATTATCCTGTGACTATAAGACAAAAAGCAGAAGATGGCCATTCAGTGAGATCATTTTTCCTCATTTCCTTCCTAACTAAAACACCTCACTCTGAGATTATGCCATCTGGTCCTAGACTCTCCCACAAGGGGAAACAACCTCCCTGTGTCTACCTGGCCAAACCCCCTAAGAAACCTGTATGTTTCAACAAGGTCTCCTACCGTTCTTCCAAACTCAGAGTATGGGTCGAACCTCTCCTCATAAGACGGTCCTTCCATACACAGGATCAACCTAATGCACCTTCTCCGAACTGCCTCCAATACCAGTATATATTTCCTTGGGTAATGTGCTCAAAACTGTTCACAGTATAATTCACAATGAGCTAGCCCAAGATGAGAGGCCACATATCAAAGTTACAGCATTGCCCTGCACAAGAAAGGGAAACTGAAGTTGAGATATTCTCACACTTTTCTAATAGCCTCCAACAAAAATACATCAGAAGAGGACTGGCAGTTCCTTCACGTGGCAGTATGACCATTTGGCTTTTATTTTCAGAAGATGGTCCTATCCGGTCAGTTAATTGCACAGTAGCATCAGTTGGAGCTGGTATGCTACATCTTTCTTACAAGGTTTTCTCATATCACAGATTTTATTCCCAGTAAACTCATTCTGATGATTTTCTTGGCAGCATTTGTTTTCCAGGAGAACCTTAAATTATTTGTGGGAAGACAGCAGAGTTAGCATTTCAAATCCACTGATTCTTCATCAGAACAGATGAAGAGGCACGGAGCTTGAAACGTTAACTCTGCTTTCTTCCCACAGCTGCTCCTAGACCAGATGAGTTTCTTCAGCAATTGCTGTTTTTAGTTCCGATCTCCAGCAGCTGCAGTTCTTTGTTTTACTTAAATTATTTGTATTCACTCCCATGTAATGATAGCGATATTTTGAATATCTAAGGAGAAAGAACTTATCCATGACTTTAATGTCAATGAGGTTCTACACGCAAGACGTAAAGCCATTTTGGCAGGTATATTGCAATATTTAAGTAGAAATGCGTGGATTACTGAATTTTGTTTCACCAAAGCTGGAATGGTGATATTGCCACTCCACAATGTGTTAGCTTGGTTCTGAATCAGACTCACCTAATATAGAAATACAATACAAAAACAGAATTTGCTGGAGAAACTCAGCAGGTCCAGCAGCATCTGTGGAGAGAAAAAGTTAATGTTTCGAGTTAAGCGACCCTTCTTCAGAATGATTCTAAAGAAGGGTCAGTGGACTCAATGTTAACTGTGCTTTCTCTGCACTGCCAGACCTGCTGAGTGCCCCCAGCACTTTGTTTTTGTTTCAGATCTTCAGCATCCACAATTATGACATTGTTGTATTAAAGGAAATTAATTACAAGGAATTTTCCCTAGGGTGGAGAGTGTCCAAAACTCGGGGGCATAATTTTAAGGTGAGAGGAGAAAGATTTAAAAGGGACCTGAGGGGCAACATTTTCACACAGAGGATATTTTGTGTGTGGAATGAACTTCCAACATTTAAAAGACATTTTGATAGGTACATGAAGAAGGAAGGTTTAAGAGGAACTGGGGGCAAACACAGGCAAGTGGGACTATTTGGGAAATTGGTCGGCATGGACGAGTTGGTCTGAAGGGTCTGCTTCCATGCTGTATGACTCTGCGTTAAAACCGAAAGAACAACTCCATGAAATTTAAACTTTGATTTTAAAATTTAGACTTGAAAATATGTTTCACATTGTAGGCCCAAAAAACTGACGCTGAAAGCCTACAAGCAATACTACTTTATTTTTAAAGATACCTGCTTATCATACTTCAAGAATAAGGAAGCTTCTCAAGGAGAACCAATTGAAAAATTAAACCTGAGAGGTGAGAAAACACATTTTTCAAGTTCCTACAGGCTAAACGTGACTTAAACAGCTAGGCATCTGGTTCTAAATTCAAAGAGTTATAATCCTAATATTGTAACAAGAAGACAGTGGCACAGTGGTGATGTCATTGGACTAGCAACCTAGAATCACAGGCTAATGTTCTAGGAACATGAGTTCGAATCCCACCGTTACAGAACGTGAAATGCGAATTCACTAAAATTCTGGAGTAAAAAGCTAGCCTAATGGAGACCATATAACCAGTGTCGATTATCATTAAAAACCTTTCTAGTTCATTAATGCCCTTCAGGGGAGGAAATCTGCTGTCCTTCCCTTGGTCGGCTTACATCTGACCCGAGACCCACAGCAATGTGGTCGACTCTTAACTGCCCTCAGATGGAAAATAAATGATCACCATGGTGGCAACACCAACATCCCAAGAACGAATAAAAACAAAATTTGCTTTGATTTGAAGTCAAATTGGCATGGTAATTTATATTTATTTTCCAATAATGAAAGTTCATAAGAAGTAGGGGCAGAATTAGCCATTCGGCCCATCAAGTCTGCACTGCTATTTGATCATGACTGATATGCTTCTCAACCCCATTTTCCTGCCTTCTCCCCACAACCCTTCAACCCATTACCAATTAAAAATCTGTCTAACTCCTTAAATTTGCTCACTGTCCCAGCACCTATCACACTTTGGGGTATTGAATTCCACTGATTCACAACCCTTTGGGAGAAGTAGTTTCTCCTCAACTCTATATTTTAAATTTGCTACCCCTTATCTTAAGACTATGACCCCTCATCCTAGAATGCTCCACATCTATTTTATCTATTCCTTTTATCATCTTTGATACCTTAATTTGTTCTCCCCTCATTCTTCCAAATTCCAGAGAGTACAGGCGTAAACTGTTCAATCTCTCTTCATTTGACAAACCGTCATCTCTGAGATCAATCTAGTGAACCTCCTCTGAACTGCGTCCAATGCCACCAAATCCTTTCTCAAATAAGTGAGCCAAAACTGTGCACAGTACTCCAGGTGTGGTCTCACCAATGCCTTGTACAGTTGCAACGATACTTCGTTACCTTTTATGTTCTAATCCTTTAGCTATAAAAGCCAACATTGCATTTGCTTTCTTTATTATCTGCTGTAGCTGCATGCTAGTTTTCTGTGACTCATGAACGAGGACATCCAGATCCTCCTGCGCCGGTGTACCCCAGAGTCTCTCCCCATTTTGATAGCAGGTCACCTTCCCATTTTTCCAACCAAAAATGCATGACCTCACACTGATCCATGTTAAACTCCATCTGCTACATTTTGGCCCATTCTCCTAACCTCTCTATATCCATTTGTAAGGTTCTTATTTCCTCATTGCTATTTACCGTCCTGCCTATTTTTGTGTCACCCGCAAATCTGGCTACAGAGCCTTCTATCCCTATGTCCAAGTCATTAATGTAGATTGTTAATAGCTGGGGTCCAAGGATTGAACCCTGTGATACTTCACTTGTTACTTCTTGCCATCCAGAAAGCTACCCACTTATTCCTGACTCTCTGTCTCTGTCCATCAGCCAGTCACCTATCTAAGCTAATAAATTACCCCAATCCCATATATCCAACCTTGTGGATTAACCCTTTGTGCCTCCCTATCGATGTTGATTGTCCTAAGTTCCACCCTATTGCCTCTGACTTGCCTGTTCCAATAGGAATGGTACTACTGTCCTCCACCGTGAAAACTGAGGCAAAGTATTGATTTAGCATCTCTGCCATTTCACTGTTCCCCGCTATTAACTGTCCAGTTTCATTTAAGGGACCACCATTCACCTTAGCGACTCTGTTCCCTTTTATGTACCTACAGAAGCTTTAGCTATACTTTGATATTTTGTGCTAGTTTATCTTAGCTCTTTTTATTAATTTTTTAGTATTCCTTTGGGAAACTTTCAAACAGAAACAATCTTCCAGCCTGCCACTGGCCTTTACAATATGGTATGCCTTATTTTTTGACTTCATATTGTCCTCGACCATCTTGTTTAGCCATAAATATTTTTTACCCCCCTTACCATCTTTCTTCCTCACTGGGATATAGTTTAACTGTGAGGAATTGAGTAGCTCCCTAAACAACTGCCACTGCTCATCTGCTGTCTTACCTTTTAGCCTTCCGACCAAATCTGACCTCATGCCTATGTAATTCCCTTGGTTTAATTCCAGCACGCTACTGTGGGACTCCAATTTCTCACCCCCAAACTGAATTTTGAATTTTGAATTCTATCATACTATGGTCACTATTCCCTAGAGGGTCCTTAAATATGATGTCATCAAGTAATCTCTCTTCATTACACAGTACCAAATCCAGAGTAGCCTGTTTCTTGGAGGTGTGTGTGGTGGAATCAATCTCTAATACATTCAATAAACCTGGCCTCCAGGCTACCCTTGCCAATCTCTGTGCACGTTAAAATCACTAATGATTACTGCCATGCCTCTCTTGCAAGCCTCTAATATTTCCTGGTTTATACTATGCTCCACTGTGGAACTACTGCTTGGAGACCTATAGATAACTCCTACCAAGTATTTCTTCCCTTTGCTATCTCTTATTGCTACCCAGACTGATTTCGCATCTTGGTCTCCTATGCTTATTTCATTTCTCATTATAGCACTGATCCCTTCCTTCATCAGCAAAGCTACAGCACCACCTTTTCCTTTCAGTCTATCCCTTTGAAATGCCAAATACCCTTGGATATTCAATTCCCAGACCTGGTCTCCTTGTAACCATGTCTCAGTGATCGCTGCCAAATTGTACTCATTTGTTTCGAATGCTTCGTGCATTTAGATACAAAGCTTTTAAATTTGTTCCACTGGTAAATTTCCCTACTCTTTTATAAATCATTGGTGCATAAAGATAGTCACCTATTCCATCCCCCTCCTTTACTGTCTGGTAACCATCTGCCAATTCGCTAACCTGCACTCTTACTACCTCCTTTTAATTTAGGTTTTATAATTTCCCCAACAACTGAACCCTTGCGCCCCCGCCCCCCCATTTATTTTAATGCCTTGTCTACAGCTCTAGTTTTGCGACCCATTGGAACAGGTCCCATCTTCCCCAGTATTGGTGCCAATGTCCCATGAATTCAAACCCATTTCTCCCACACCAATCTCTAAGCCATGCATTTACCTGTTTAATCTTATTGACCCTGTGCCAACAGTTCCTGGCTCAAGTAGTAATCCGGAGATTATTACCTTTTTGGTTCTGCTTTTTAATTTAGCTCCTAGCCGTTCACTCTCCCTTAGCAGAACCTCTGCCCAGGTTTTGTGTATGTCGTTGGTACCTATGTGGACCACGACAACTACATCTTTATCCTCCCAGCCCAGATGAGATATTCCCAAACCCGAGCACCAGGTAGGCAACACAACCTTTGGGACACTCTATCCTGGTCACAGAGAATCGTGTCTATGCCCCCAATGATACTATCCTCAATTACATTTCTCTTCTCTCCCCCGACTTAAATGGCTCATCCTCCCCGCAGTCCCCAGTCCCATCAACACAGGGAACAAGACTCTCGAACCTGTTGCACAAGGACAAGGGCTGAGGCTCCTGGGTCCCTCTAACTGCCTCACTTACAGCCACACCCTCCTGTCCCTGACCACTGGCTGAGTTCAAGTTAGTCTAAGGGGTGTGACTGCCTCCTGAAACACAGCATCCAGATAATTCTCCCCCTCCCTGATACGTTGCAATGTCCAAAGCTTCAATTCCAACTCATCAACCCTGAGCTGGAGTTCCTCGAGCAACCAACACTTAGTACAAATATGGTCACTTGGAACCACAACAGGAACGAGACATCACCTGACTCTCCATCCTTATTTTATTTAGCTAGCTTTCAATTTGGTTTATTTAGTTTTTTAAAACTATTTTTAAATCTCTGCTCATTGTCTCAACCTGAGCGCAAGATATAGCCAATAATTTAACAAGATTCAATTCAACGCAGATTCCCTATTAGCCAATCAAACCACAGCTTTCCTGTGATGTCACTTTTTAGTTCCCTCAGTCAGAAGCAGAAACTCTTACCTAGAATGAAACACAATTGGATGTTGTCCATCCATTTGATGTCTACTTCCACAAATAAATTCCTTCTACCCCTCTCTCCCTCTCCCATCCTGATTTACAAGCCCCCTAGCTCAGAGGGCTAGCATACATGTGAAAGCAACCCTCCCTTGGGCCTCTACACCACCTATCCAGCACTTTTTCATTCAAATTCAAACATAATTGCATGATTATCTACAGAATAATAAATTCCATTATATAAAAAAAAGTATGCAATTGTACAAAGTGCATAGTTCAATGCATATCTGCATCATAATCTCTCATCAAATTGCATTTAGCTATGCAGTCACATGTAAGTTTCACTGATTTGACAAGGACACTAATAGTGGTACTGCAGGGTACCAAAGATTCCACTGTATGACACAGGTTGCACAATGGTGTCATTATTATAGTGCCTCATTTGTTAGGTACCTGGAAAGTTGACAAAGATATTATTTAAAACATACACCTCAGGCTGATCAAACATGTTCTAAGGACTCTCAAATAATATGGTGTTTATTAACAATTTTAGTTTTACAATGCAGAAGGAAATAATTAACATTTTACATAAATGTGAATATTAAATAGTCAAATTTAAAAATTGGGTGCAAGTAATTCTAAATTGGAAGGTGAGAATAGGAATCTCTTGAAAATTTGCTGAAAATTGTGGCTTGTATGATATACACGTTATATTCCTCCACTCATTAGCAAATAACATTTGGATGAAATTGAGTTTCTGAGAAGAAAGAAAAAAACTTTAACGTATTACTGAAATTTATCATCTTATATATTTTCCTTAAGGTGGCTTCAAAAACGGAGGGAGAGTGGGAGGTTGGAGGAGGGACACAGGGTACCAAGAGAATTGTAGTATGGTTATAGAGCTAGCTTGGTCTGCTAATGAGGTTTCACCGAAATAAAGAATATTCCACTTGTATAGTAGCTTTCTTGACCTTGGCATGTTCCAAAACGCTTTATATTGTCACAGTTGTTCCCCCATGATCCATCTTCTTCTCAGATCTCTTTGGAAGCCTCGTCACCATGGTTGACGCATGAAACCTTCAAAAAAAAACCATTCAGATAGTGCCAAAAATAATTCATTTACTCCAGAAAAATTGGGGTTAACTTTCTGCTGCAGGCAATACATGCGATGCCCATTGGGAGTTATTGGGATACCCAGAATCTACACTTTTCCATCTGTGGTAGACTAATTTCACAAAAAAAACCTCCCTAATAAGAAAGCTGCTTTGTTACCTATATCAGTACCAGTTTGTCTTTAAAAGAGCAGTAATTTATAAATGTGTAATACTGCAGTATCTCAGAATGTAAAGGATTAGTCTGGGGTTAAGAGTGAATCCAAGAAACACCACAGGCTTTAATACACATGCTCCCAAAACACACAAGCATACATGAAAACCCTTTATTCAATTTATCTGTCACATTTCAAGTCTCACTTAACTGTTTTCCTTGAAACTTTGCCTAATACAGGATGTGAAGTTATGCCAGATGTGAACGTAGCAGGACAGAAATTTGGGATCAAGTTGCTGATTCCTGTGGCTGACGGCATGAATGAAGTATACATAAAATGTCACAATGTAAGTGTTCCACTGTAGGTTTTATAGATTCACAGGAATTAACACTAGCAAGGTTTTGCTTTGGTGCATGTGAAAACATTTCTCAGCATTCAGTTGCAAGGACAGGGAATTAGCACTCAGATTTTGAGAGGGATTAGGGAATTAGCTGGCCTTGGTCAAACAAGATTCCTAATTTGGAGTGATTAAATGATTTTGCTTATTAGCATACTTCACTGAATATATAACTCTGTTTTAACAAGAACCTCACCAAGGGGCAGTACAGTGGCTCAGTGGTTAGCACTACTGCCTCAACACCAGGGACTTGGGTTTGATTCCACCATCAGGCGACAGTCTGTATGGATTTTGCACATTCTCCCTGAGTCTTCGTTGGTTTCCACCGGGTGCTCCAATTTCCTCCCACAGTCCAAAAATGTGCAGATTGGCCATGCTAAATTGCCAATAGTATCTAGGGGTGTTTAGGTTAGGTGGATTAGCCACAGCAAATGCGGGGTTACAGGGATAGGGAGGGGGTTTGGGTGGGATGCTCTCTTCAGAGTCAGTGTAGACTCGATAAGCTGAATGGCCTGACTCCACACCGTAGGGATTCTATGATTTGGGATGACACTATTCAGAGGGAGGGACGCTGCCATTGCTTTACAAGAGCTCCGACCACGTACTGTGCATGGTAGAGTTGAAGTCTCATAAGTAGCAAAGGGGCCTGGGAATTATACGGAGTACTAGAATATAAAGCCAGAACAATTCGGATCAAAACTAAACAAACCTATACATGCATTATGTTAGCCCTGTCAACAGGCATAATGCTACGTTAATCCATGTCAAGGGACAGGATGCAGACCCATTCTCCCATCATATTTTGGTTACATTTAGTCTTTACTTCACATTTAGAGTTCCAACACCAGCATAGATCTCCCAATCATCACAAATTTACGGAAGAAAGGGTAATATCATTGTCTTGGTTATTAATGTAATTAGTGATGAGCAGCATTCCCAACATAGATTACTGAGGGCACTGCTATAGTTCCTGATCTCCCCACACATCCACTTGCTTGGCAACAACTTGTCAAAAGCTTTCCTAAAGTCCAAGTTAATACCGTTAGTAGGACTAATGGATTTTACCACCTGAGCTATTTTCTCAGTAAATTCAATCAAGTTAGTTAGGCTCAAGTTTTTGGGGGTTCATGATGACAGTTACCTAATATTGGCAGTTGATCATTAGTAAGGAATTTTCAGAGGGTTTATCAAAAGATGTTCCGAAGCAGCAGTTTAGATGCAATGCTTTATTTAATTAGAAAAATGGATATATGACCTGACACAGATGAATATATCTTACCGATCCTGAAGCCATGTGTAGAATGGAGAATTAGATGTCGTGGACATTTTGGATTTGGAGTAGCAGGGTGTTCATCCCTGATATCACTTATAACTTATCACTTAACAGTCTTTGTTCTTTCCTTGAACTCCTGGTTTTCTCCCAAAAAGACGATGGCTTGTCCAATGAACACTCTTTTCCTCTGTTTCTCCCATTCGCCTTCCAGTGTGCTGGACCCAATAAATCTTTAAGGTCTGTTCAATAGTGGTGATTCTTGTAACCTTTGCTTCGTTTTCATACGCTAAGAATTTGTTTGTAGAAGGCTAGTTATTACTGTAACAGCTAAATGAGGTTTCATGCTACCAGGAAATACTTAATATGGAACACTAAAAGAATTCAGTTTTAGAGAACTCCAATTTCCAACAGTCCCTTCTAACAACTTCCAATAACAAACTAACCAGTAGATCTATAGTTTCCTATTTCCAAATTGCTGCCCTTTTAAATAATGGTACTACTTTAACTACCTTCCAGTTGGCTGGAACAATCCCAATTTCCTATGAGCTATTAAAAATATCTAAACAAGGGGGTTACTTAACACATCCCAAATTTAGACAGCATTGGAAAAAATTATATTGTATCATTCATAAATTAAAGGACCTGTTAATTGGGTACATTTTTTTAAAAAGTATCAAAATCAACAATATTACTGACCTTTCCTTGTGGTTTTGCTTCATGTGAAAATGCATTAGGGATGGAACAAATTACTGCCTTGAATCCAATTGAATTCTCACTGAAAACATTGTGCAAGTCAAAAGGAGCAGGTTCTTGATTTAGAGATAGTAGGAACTGCAGATGCTGGAGTTCTTGATTTATCAGGGAGCATATGTGTTTGAGGGAAATAAAAATGGATTGAGATCCTGATGGACATGTTCCCAAACTTCAGGGTCAGATGGACAAACTGCATGGTCTTTTCTGGTTATTCCCTGCTCTGCATTAGATTTGTTAGCCACCCTTTACATTCCACCAAGCTAATTTTGTTTATGCTTTCTAGCTATTCTAAATGGTTTACATTAACACCAAGGGTTTTGTTGTTGACTGCAGGAAACACAATATGCTAAATGGATGGCTGCCTGCAAACTGGCTTCAAAAGGCAAGACAATGGCTGACAGCTCATACCCCACAGAGGTGTATGACATTCAATCTTTCTTAAAGATGAAGAATGTGAATTCTGTGCCTCAGGTGATGCATGACTCAAATGCTCTGGACATGAATCCAGAATCACTGGTGTCACGAAAATACTTGAAAAAGTTAAAAACTAAACAGGTAAGGGTTTCTTATTGCTATTATTATACATTCGACCTTTTTCTCCCTGGCTAACCTGATTACTTGGGATAAAATTCCACGTGAAAATATTGAATGTCGACATTAGTTTTTATTTCAGATTCAGACCGGGAAGGACTGAAAATCAAACAATCACTTTTCAGTAGAAACATGCTTTAAAAAGTAGTAATAATTTGATAACAGGCCAAAACTAAACTGCTGCTTGAAGTCATTGCTCACACATAAGTTTCTCCTCATGACAGAGTAGTTTTTGCATTGTACTTTAATCGCAAGACTTTAGCTAGCATATTGTAGTATGTCTATCACATCAATGTCAAAAATTGCTATGCTGTTGAGGAACAGGAGTATATCATTGTTAGACCTTAACCAATCAGGGTGTCAATTCAAAATAACAAAAATCTCCGTCTTAAAAGCTCCATTAGACTATGTGAAGGAGTTTCAAATTTCTACAACATCTTGTGTGAGGAATAAGTACTTACTGATTTTGTTCCTGAATGGCCAGCTCTCATTTTAAGATTACGTTTCCTTGTTCTGCCCTTATCATATCTTAACATTAGAAATAACCCAAGCATTCATTTCCCCTACTCGTCCCCCAAATCCCTGCCAATCTTCGATAACCAAGAAATTATAAACCAAGTTTATTTTTAAAAAAGACATTTTGCTGACTTTATCCTGCACCCTCTCCAAGATCATTCATTATGTTCTTCCCAAAAGAAGTGAAGTCCGCATATGATCAACAATCTAGATGAGTATGACTAAGGTTATACTCAGTTACAATGCAACTCCTCCCTTTTTGCTTTTCAAGACCCCTTAAGATTAATGTCAGCTTTCCATTTGATTACTTTTGGTACCTGTCCACCAGCTTTTAATGATTTATGTACCTGTGTGCACCCAAATCCGGTTTCTACTTGGCATTTTTACTTTCTTGTCGTTTTGAAATATTCTGTTTTTCTTGGGTTCAAAGTATGCCCACATATGCCCACCTTGAATTTCAATTACCATAGTTGTCTCAACTCACTTAATCTGCCCACATCCCTTTACAACTTTGCTACTGTGATCTGATGCCCTTCCTAACTTAAGCGTTATCTGCAAATTTGGATATGTAATGCTCTGTTTTCTCATCAGTCGTTCATAAATATGAAGAGTCCAGACTCCTGACCAGATTGTTGGAAAACACCACTGATACATTCTGCAAGTTTCAGCACCTTCGACAGACACAAGGGCAATTAGTGAGGGGAGAAGGGGTGGGAGAGAGAAAAAGATACAAAGAGAGCATATCTGTGACTTAGCCATGGGCATTTTATTATAACGAAATATACTGTACACTGTAATGTGTAGAATACATTAGATTTTTCCTGATCTACAGCACAATGAATCAACTTGTTTACCAAGGCTGCACTCTCGTCCACTGGTGAAAGTACTGAATTTTAACTCTATCCAAACGAAAGCTCACTTTTAAAACTAAGCTGTGAAGACTTCGAGGAACAGAGGCTATAGGTGTTACAAAGGTCTAACTGTTTGGAATGGGTATCAGCCTCTCTTTCACCTGACACTCATTGCTGATAGTATCGGTAAAAATGGGTACAGAAGTGTGTGAACTCAATATTGCATCTGTCTCTTTTCTCACTCTTGCATTATTGTATAGATTTCTAGGAGCAAAGTTGGCAAAGAATCAATACAAGAACACTCTGAAAAGATCAAAATTGCTGTAGTTCATTTACGTTAAATAATTTTAATAACTATCCTCAGATTTATGGTCAAATCCTTGCCTACAGTAAATTGTTAAATCATTGTCACTCGTAGTACCGACTTCACCACCCACAATGTGATAACTTGCTCTTCAGTCTGTCTATTGTTTCTCCAAGGTAATATTCAAGCCAGTCTGTATTTCCACACATAGGACGATTGAGTGCATGTTGTAAGTAGTAAACACACACATACTATATATGTGATTCGTCAAAACAAAACAAGCTTGGACACATTGAAGTAATTGTACTTGTGGCAATAGCTGTACTAAATTAAATTCTCTCTTGGATATTTGATTTATAGTTGACAGCACGCATCCTGGAAGCACACCAGAACGTTGCACAGATGACCCTGGTAGAAGCCAAGATGCGGTTCATCCAGGCCTGGCAGTCACTGCCAGATTTTGGAGTTTCTTATTTTTTGGTCAGGTAAGTGACATGTAAGAATATTGTATTGATTTGCTTTGGCAGGGCAAACTGACATTCACTAAAACTTGTAAACGTAAACAACAGAAAGGCAAACTTTATTATTTTTATGCACAGAAATAACATTACCACTGACAGAACTGGTGACTATTCAGGCTCTTCCCAGTGAGTCTGTGAATTTTGTTTATTAGTGAAGATGGAAGATGTCACTTTTTTTATTAAAGCTTGCATATTCATACAAAACTACAAGTATTTGTTTGCTGCTAATTGAGGCAAAGAACCTTTTTAAAAACCAGTTATGAAAGCCCAATGTAATTGAAGAAATAAAGTTTCATTGAAATGTTCATGGATTAAATTACTTTCATGCAGGAAAAATGCTGGATCAAACGTTTTCCTATTTCACAACTGTTCAATTTAATAAGAATATAAATAACTTAAAGATCCAAGCTTTTCATTGAATTAAGCAAAATATTTTTTAACAATGTGGAGATGTAATTAAACATATTTACTAAAATTTGTAGCATTTTGTGGACAACTTACTTCAATTGTATTTTTCCCATATTGTCCAACATTTAGTTAGTTGTATTCCCCTTTTGTAATGCTTATGAATTGTTTACCTGCCAACGAATTGTCTTCCATCAATGCAGAGGTACACAACATCCTGTCACTCTGTATCTTTACTGACCTGTAAAAGATCCACAAAATTGACAGTAATTTTCCCTCTACAAGAAAGCCTGTGGTTTCTACTCAATTCCTCTCTACAACAAAAAGGCAACTGGAAACCCACTTTTTGAAGAACTGTAGGCACCAATAAACTAACTATGGAGTAGTAAACGCCCTATACTGAGGGCACTGGGACACTAATGTATTACTCCATGGGTGTTCAAAGATAAATGTGTAAAAAAGTACATTAGTTATAATAATATTTCCTAAATCTCTATAGTGAAAACATTTGAGTGCTTTTTGTTTTACTCATTTCTAGCAACTGATCTCAAAAGTAATCAACAACTCGTGATTTACTTGTACCCCTCTCTACGATGTGTGTCTCTAAGCACTTGAAATGGAGAAATGAGGACCTAGTGCTAGGACATCAATTGCAGGATACCAGACATATTGGAGAGAGGGTTTTAAGGTTTCTTTTTAAGGAAAGGGGAGAAGCAGGAAGACAAAAGAATGTAAGAGCAAAGAGCAAATCTTGAATGCTGAAATGTGGGATCAAAAGTAATTCCCGGGGAATAGGGGAGAAGATTTCTGTGAAACAGTAGGATGAACTGACATGAAACTTCAAGAAAGAAATCAGTACAATGACACAAGATAGGAAAATCATGTATGTCATCATTTCTCATGCATTCAGAAAGACCCTGTTACCACCTTGTTTAAAAACTCCAGGCCTCCCAATTCTTTACTTGTTGACACAAGTAGAGGTACAAAACCAGAATTAGAAGTAATATGATAAGAAATTTGCAGTGAACAAAATTACCTTTTTACTTTGTCACACTTTGCACCATAGGCTCTCCAGCAAGCATTCCTTCACAAAGAAAAAGCTGGAAAACGCAAAGCTTTATGAGCACATTATTTAGGTTGAATCTAATAATCAAATTTGTTTGCATGGTAAAGTTCAGAGTACAAAATGTGATTTTCAATCCACGTTTAATTTAGAAATAGGCAATGAATGTTGACGATGCTGTTAAAGCCAAGCAGCAGGCATGCACTTGCCAAAACTGGCAAGAATTCCTTCAGATTTTCCAGTGTTGTGCGAAAGGAAATTTCAGCTCATGCGAGACAGATGTTAATCAGGATTCCATGCAATTCTTTCCATACACAAACAATAATCCCTATCTAAATCTACACATTTTGGCCTCATTAAATGTTGAACCCCTTCCAGGATACTATTGTATTGTATCTTTGCTCCACAAATAACAGGGTTATGCCTTAGAACAAGACATTGAGAGAATCTGTTGCCAAGAAAGATGTTTACTGGTGCGTCTTTATGTGTGTTATTGTATTACTGCTGTTAAGAATGTCACTTATTTTAGAGTTCAAAAACAAAACTCTACTTATTTAAACCCAACATCACCCTTTCACAGATTCAGAGGAACCAAGAAAGATGAACTGTTAGGTGTTTCCTACAATCGATTAATAAGAATAGATATGGCCACGAGAGATCCGATTGTAACATGGAGATACAGCAACATTAAACAATGGAATGTCAACTGGGAAATCAGACAGGCAAGTTACAAATTACCCTATAAATCGCTCAGTGTCGAAAACAACAGGACGCCTTATTTAATACAGAACAAACCAGTAAGTTGTTGACTATTCTATCTCCAAGCAGTAGAATATGTACAAAGAGCTTTGGGATAACAGGAACTCCTGTTTTCTCTTTCTTCCCACTCCACCCCACCATTATTCACTCTGTGAAAAAACATCTTGATTCTTAATCAAAAATCTTTCTGCTTAGAGTAAACAAAGACTTAAATGATATTTTTAAAAAATCCATTAAATCAAAATTACAGAGCATTTTGAGCTATCTTTTATGTAGATGTACTTTAAAAGTTTGTTTTCCATCATATTTTGCTGCTTGCTTCTTCCTAAATTACAG